TAGAAGGAGACAGACTTAGCAGGGCCTGCAGTAATAAGACAAAGGGAAATGGTTTCAAATTAAAAGAGAGGAGACTGGACATAAGGAAGGAGGTTTTTTTACAATAAGGGTGGTGAGGCAGTGGCACAGGTTGCCCAAAAAATGGTGGATGCGCCATCCCTGGAGACATTCAACGTCTGACTGAAGGGGCTTTGAGCACCTGATGGAGCTGTAGGTGTGCCTGTTCATTGCAGGGGAGTTGGACTTTTTAAATCCATAGAGCAACATAGGCTATTTGTTTAGTTAACTTTAATTGCTTCTGAGTCATATGATTAATTTTTAGCAATGGTAGTTCCTCATGAATTTAGGAAGAACTATCAAGAATTGCACGAGTGCATCCGAGCTGGCCAAACAGTCAGGTTTGAGCACCTCATATTTCAACTATACAAGACAGTAGAAACAGTCTAAAGTCCCCAACATTTAGGAAGAAATGCTTTGATCCAGGGCACACACTTATGTTCCCACCCAGCACTCACAGGACGAACTGTGAGTTCATGGCTCAGCAACTCCAAAACTACATGCATGTCCCATATAATCTCCCCATTTATCCCTGAGAGAACAGAAAATTGAGCTTGCACTGCTGTAGCCTGCAGTTTCAACAACCTACTCAATCATTTGGAAAATTCATGTGAAATTTTAATCATTGACAGTCCTTAAATGGACTGTAAAGTACTGATCACTCCAAGTACAGAAGAGAAACTGGAGAGACTAGTTCTCCAAAGCACTCCTATCTTTTTCTTCACTTTCATTAATTTCACAGTCTAAAAGAGAATCTGTTACCTCTTTGCAGAATACTAAAGTGCAAAATTATGAATTTGACATGGAACTAGACCCTATACTTAACCAACATTTTCTTTCTCCTCATTTTATTACACAATCTTTAATTATTCCTAGTTACAATAGTAATAAACCAGATTAGCCAATAAATGGTCATAAATAAAAATACCATTGTGCTCAAAAAACTATGTTTAGACTTTTTTTTTTTTTTTTTACCCTAAGAATATGGGAGAATTCTTCTGTATTAAGATAAAATACATAGGTTGCCCTGAAAGTAATTCCTTCTATTTATTTCCTTGGAAACTACAACAGATAGAAGAGCACACTATTCGATAGAGCAAATTCTCAGCCACAGAGCATTGCTTTTCAACATAGTCACCGCCACTGGCTATGCATGTTTGCCAGAAATGAGGAAGAGCCTTATAAAAAGCCACATCAATGGAAATGACCCACTGTTCCATAGCTGCTATGACAGCATCGTCACTAGGAAAATGTTGCCCATGCAGTCCATCTTTCATCAGCCTGAACAGATGGAAGCCAGAAGGCACCAAATCTGATCTATACAGTGGGTATGGTAGGATAGTCCAGCCTAGATTGGCTAATGTGCTCTACAGTCTTCAAACAGGCATGGGGCCTGGCATTGTCGTGTTGCAAGAGAAAAGTTGTCTTCTTCTCTCACCTGACTAGAAAATTGAACCTTCAGCTTAGTCAGTATTTTATATAGTGGTCAAATTCATGGTTTGTCCAGGTTCCAGAAAATCCAGAAGGATCACCCTTTTCCTATCTCAAAAGTGCACATCGCTTTACCTGCTGAGGGCTGTGTCTTGAACTTTTTCTTTGATGAGGAATCCGCATGTCATCACTTCATGGACGGCTGTTTTGACTCCAGCTGGTAGTGCTGACACCACTCTTGCCACCAGTAATGATTTGTTCTAGGAAACTGTCACCTCCAGCTCCACCTCCAATAGGTCCTGACAAATTTGTATATGTTGTTCTTTCTGTTCCTGTTTAAGCATTCAAGGAATTCACTTGGCACAAACTGCTTTGCATTTTGTGGTGTAATAGCTGTGCATGGTGCTGGAATGTGGCTTGTCTTTCATGTCACTGTCATCACTGCTGAAACACACTACCCAGCACCACCTCACTGTGCTCACATCCTCTGTTTGGTCTCCAGAAACATTCAGCAAGCATTGATGCATGTCAGCGGTGCCATTTTTCTTCCACATGGAAGAGTTTAGTGGCACACCTTTGATTCATATGCACTTCCATGTCAGACACCATTATGTCAGACTAATCCCTCTTCTGCCATCTGTCGCACTGTAACAAAATGTAACAGAATATTGGCAGGTAAGTTCAACTTCCACTGCCGTATCACCAACATCCACCTCCGACATAGTGAGCCAACGTAATAAAATAGAAGCAGCTCTGGTATGTTAAAGAAAGCAAGCAACATCTGAATTGTTCAAATAGTGCTTGAGCCTCCCTCTCAACTTACATCACTGATATCATTGTCGTTATTAACATGCATTTTTAATTGCTTTATGGATTTTATTTACTTTTATTTTACTTGTTGTTGCAGATAATGTTAAGAGTTTTCTTCATTGATTATTGGCAACTGCTGCATTCTGAGAAAGCCTCTTTCAATTTAGCTTTCCAGATCCTTTGATTTCCTGCTCCAACAGCTTTATAATCTCTCCAACAACTTCATAAATGCACTGCAATGGTCACATGAACGTCTCAGGAGAGGAATCAACACCTCTGTGTCTCGCTGTTATTATGGCACTTTAGAAAGAGAAAACCAAAAAGCAACAAGTCCAAGTCAAGTTGGAAGTCTTACAAAAGATGAATCTAATAGTGAGGCTCCGAAGAAGTTTCAGAACACTGGTCATTCTCCTGGCTGCCTTCTGTCTAGCAAGTATTGTCATTTCTGCTTATTACCTGTACACTGGCTACAAGCAGGAGATGACTCTTGCAGAAACCACTGGAGAAACAGAGTGTGAAGATCTCAAGCTTTTACCATACAGGTCCATGGAGCTGAAAACAGCTAAGCCAATTGATCCTTCTAAAACTGATCCCACCATCCTTCTCTTTGTGGAAAGTCAGTACTCCCAGCTGGGACAAGACATCATAGCCATCCTTGAATCCAGCAGATTTCAATACCACATGGTCATCGCACCTGCCAAGGGAGATATTCCCCCTCTCACAGACAATGGAAGAGGAAAATATACGATTATTATATATGAGAATATTTTAAAGTATGTATCCATGGACTCATGGAACAGAGAGCTTCTGGAAAAATACTGCGTGGAATACAGTGTTAGCATAATTGGTTTTCATAAAGCCAATGAGAACAGCTCCCCAAGTACAAAACTGAAAGGCTTGCCATTACATCTTTACAATAACATTGCCCTCAAAGATTGTGTTGTAAACCCTCAGTCTCCCCTTCTGCGCATTACCAAAGCACCAAGGACTGAGAAAGGCCCACTGCCTGGTGAAGACTGGACAGTTTTCCAGTTCAACCATTCCACCTACCAACCTGTGCTTTTAACTGAACTGCAGACTTCCAGGCCAACCCCCATGGCGTTGCCAAAGGCTGCTCTGTATGCAACTGTCATCCAGGACTTAGGACTTCATGATGGGATTCAGAGAGTTCTTTTTGGAAACAACCTGACTTTCTGGTTGCACAAGCTAATCTTTATTGATGCCATCTCTTTTCTGTCAGGGAAGAAGCTCACACTGTCCTTGGATAGATACATTCTGGTTGACATTGATGACATCTTTGTTGGGAAAGAGGGAACAAGGATGAATGTCAACGATGTGAAGGTAAGGCAAGAACTGGGGAATACCATACTGGATGCAAACATGTTCATTGGTAACAAGGAGACAAAGGGTGAAAAAACTGAGAGTCCCACTTCCGTTTAAAGGCTCAAAGTACATAAATGTACCCAGCAAATACAGAAACAATAACCCCAGGCTGTTTTAAACGTCTCTTTACTCACATGCATACAGAGATGCAGTCAAGTATGTTGAATGCATGGAAATGGCCTCAAACAATAAAGTATATAGCAAACATATTGACAGCGTCTCACTCTTGTAAGTCCTGCTCACTTGAGAAAATGGATAAAAAAAGAACAAAAACATTTAAATACCTCACATAACCATTTTTTTCTCTCCAAAATAAGACAAAGGCATCTCCATTTCTGGAGCAAATTTACTGCTGAGAACTCTGAACTCAGATAAGAAAACATTTTACATTGCATTAATTTTCCCCCCCTTTGAATATACATACATGTGTATGTCTGCTTCTGACATATATATAAATTCCATTTATATGCATTTGCTGTTATTTCTGTCATTATTGAAAAATGAACAGAACAATGAAAGATTTTTCTTTTTTTTTTTTGAAATCTCCCATAATTATCATTATATCAAAATAGAATAAAAAAGGAATAGAAAAATTGGTCACAGTTTGACTTTCAGTGCTTAGCAGGATAATTTTCATTAACAGATAAGTATCCAAAGTTACTAGTGATAGGTTGAAAGCACAGCCTACACTTTAGCAAATGACTTAGGTATCTGATAAGGTGGACTGTTCACAGACTACTTTTTGGAGAATTTTTCAAACTTATTTTCATAGTCCTTAATACTCAGAGACTCAATTATATCTGTTTAGATTAATTCTTAAAAGTGCATGCAGTATAGGAAGACATGCAGACTTAAAGAGGTAAATAGACAGAAATCTATACTGCACGAATAGACAGAAGTCTACTGCATGAAAATTACTTTCTTGCGATTTTCCACATGCATGAGAATCATGTTCAGATATTAACTGAAGCTCCTAAGCGTGCAACATTACATTCTCTAGCCTTTATTATAGAATTTTCATGTAAATACTCTACTGCTTTTGTGAGCAATAAGCAAGCCTCCTTTTTCTTTCTTTTTTTTTTTAAACACCTAGATATCTATTTTGTTTCTTAATACTTATTTCCAGTTCTATGAGCTTTACATTTGCCTGCCAACTCATCTGGATCACTAAGAGAGAGATACAATAGCCTCCAAAAAGAGTAGTTTCAAACAAATAAAACATTGGAAAACTATTAATCAAACCAGGAGTATGATAGATCATCAGAGCAGCATCCAGACACTTAAAGAGCCTACATTATTCCTGGTGTCTTGTGATCCAAGCACTACGCACAAGCTAAGTGATCAAGTGTTTCCTCTGAAGAAATATATGATAAAACACACTGACAAAGGGCCCATCTAAAAGAGGAAATTAGCTGAAAATGCAATTGTGGAACAAGTTTTTCCAAGTGAAGCTTTTTGCACACACAGCTTTTAGAGCCTTATCTACATTGATTAAAAAGACCCTATTACTTGAACAGAACATCCATATCAAGACACTTGTAAATTCAAACCATACTGTCATCTGAAATAATCTCCAAGCCCCAAGAAAAGCCCCATATCATTTTCCTTTTTATCCGGAAATCAACAACACTTGTAGACAAACCTTTCACTTATGCTTGGCAGAGCAGCCATGTCCCATCATCATTCTTGTGGGAGATACAGGACAAAACTGGAGATCTGAGGGCTATGTGAGGAGCTGAATGTCAGAATTCTAGCTGCTAAAAGCATTCAGCATCACTTTTGTATGCTGCACACATTCAGCCATCTGAAAACTGAATAGTCCAGAACACTGAATACCTTAACAACAAGAGAAAGGATCTGCTAGGCTTCAGACTTTAATAATAATAAGCATGGTGAGACTTCTCTTTATGGATTATATTCAAGTCAAGTTTTGAAGGGAAGCTTTCATTGTTCCCACCTTCCTCAAGTGCTTTCTCAAGCCCACCTCCATTGCAATACTGCAAATAGTTTCATTCACAGGATAAATTCTCTCTTGGTCTCAGAGAAGAAATCACACAACAAATGCAAACCATGATGAGACATCTTTTGCAGGCACATGCTCAGAACTGACTTCCCCATCGGGAACACTTTTGGAAGGGATAGTTTATTTCCCTGTTAGATGATGCTCCCATGTAAAAAGATTCTGCACCTTGACCATCCGTTACTATTCCGCATGTCAAACTGGGGCTTTCATTTCAAATCAGACTAGACATTCTCAGAATATAGTAGCATTCAAAGCAGAATGCTTGCTAATGATATGACAAAAAAAGAAATCAGGGTGTACTTTAGTTAGTTTACAGTAAAAGATAATTACAGTGAGTTAGAGGAAAATCTCAGAAGTCACTTGGGAAAGAAAGCAATTAAGAGCCAGTGAGCCTAGCTTCACTTCTCACAACAAAGCAGCCTCCTTGGTCAAAATACAAGATAGCAAAGGAAAACAACATTTAGGAGGCTAACATTTAAGCAATGTCAAAATAGTGCTAAGCATTGTGACTAGCTGCTCAAAGGGGGCTGTGTTTCCACAGTACAGTGGGAGACTGCCATGAAATGCATGGAGGTGACACACGGAGGCAACAGTTGTGCGTGCCTTGTATGTGTTCTGTAAGAGTGAAAGCAGGAGCAGGGAGGTGATTGCCCCCCTGTTGTCATCTGTGGTGAGGCTGTGCCTCAAGTATTGTGTTCAGTTTTGGGCCCCTTGTGATAAGAGAGACATTGAGGCCCTGGAGTGTGTTCAGAGAAGGGCAACAAAACTGGTGATGGATCTGGAGCACAGGTTTGATGGGGAGTGGCTGAGAGGGTGAGAATTTGGAGAAAAGGAGGCTAAGGGGAGACCTTATGGCTCTCCACAACTGCCTGAAGGGAGATTGTACGGAGGTGGGGATTGACCCCTTCTCCCTGGTAACAGCAATAGGATGAGAAGGAATAAGTTGTGCCAGGAGAGGTTCAGGTTGGGTATGAGGAAGAATTTCTTCTCAGAAGCAGTGGTGTTGCACAGGAACAAGCTGCCCAGGGAGGCGCTGGAGTTGCTATCCCTGGAGGTGTTCAAGAAGAAGTTGAATGTTATATTTAGGGACACAGTCTAGGGGACAGTATCAGTGGTAGGTGGATGGTTGGACTAGAGGATGATCTTAGAGGTCTTTTCCAACCTTTATGATTCTGTGAGAATTGTACAGGCTCTTTGTGTTGTTCAGTGAGAACAAATGTTGAATGAGAAACAAACAAAAAATTTCCTTTCTTTTCCGAGCTGCATATTTTAGGTATATTTAGCACAAAAATCATAGCCCATATGAACAGTATTGTGTACATCAAAATCCATTTCATCCCATCTCCTGTAACAGATGCTTACATCAGCATCTCCAAAATGGACTTATTTATACAGTACTTTAAAAACACACACAAACCAAATATGAAGTGCTGCTTGTAATGAAGTTTCTCAGCTTAGTACAATTATGCCACATCACTACTTCTTCAGTTCCTTTAGTTCATAGCACTTGTCATTAGAGCTGGCACAGATTCACTTTGCAAAGTTATTTGGGATTCTGTTAGACTCTTAAGGTGCCATAGACACTAGTGTAGCTTAAGTATAAAATCTGGTGCTTTTATATGCACCAGATTCCCAGATGCATGCAAGAAAACTGGAAACAGATGCACTCTTCCAAAACTGTGTTAAAAATACAGTCAAATAACATCCCTCTATTCAAGCTCTTAGGAATTTCCTCCCAGTGACCAAGTGTATAATTGCCAATCCAAGGGACACATGACTAGAAATGTGTTTTTTGATAACAGTATTCATATGTAGCAATAAAAAGACAAGTAACACTTCCTGTGTAATTACTTGCTGCAACTTGAATGTTTTTATCCTCTTGCAAAGCCTTTCCTCAATTAGGTGCTTCGAGGATATATATATAGTTTTATAAAGGGTGGCATCAGCTAGAGAAACAGAGATTAGAAAACAGAGTTATTATGGGCTCTATTTACCACAAAAGATCTCCTAGTCCCTTGTATTACAGAAGCTGTGCAAGGTCATATGTGGCTAAGTAATTAAACAGGAACTCAGCAGAGCCACAGAAAGCTATTTTCCCAAGCTTTGCAGAGATCTATCTTGAGCTCAGTGAGCCCCTACAAATGAATTTCTCTCTTTCCCTCCTGCCAATATATTATCTCTCTGCTTGAATTTAGAAGGCAAAAGACTCAAGAACTCTTCAGTTACTTTGCAGAATTACTGAATTCGTGTACTCGCAAATTATTTTGGTTCCTAACCATATGATGAGTCTATGATAGGCATCAGTGGTTTAGCAAAAACAACTAGAAATATCTGCTTTTGCGGTCTCTGGGGTTGCCACACAGAAAGAATACAGAACATTTATCTTTAAATTTCTTTATAAGTGAGCACAAACAGTAGCGTTACCCAAACAGGTAGTGAGATCTCATGAAGGATTTTCCTTTTCTGCTGTTATTGTACAAAGTTGCAAAATATATAATCTATATTCACCTAGGAAAAGCCCAGAGCAATCACTAGGAAAATTTCAGCACCCTCCCTAGCACACTTTCTGATCTAGGAACAGTCATTTAAAGCAGCACAAATTAAAAACAAAAACAAACAAACAAAAAAAACTCTGCAAGATCACATTACAAGCAAACATTCTTCCACCTAAAGTAAATAAATAAACAAATAAACAAAATGCAGAACAGCTTCCCTTCTACAACTTTCTTCCAGGTAGACCCTCTTAAAAGCAAGCCACCTGCTTCCCTTGCTTTCCCAGCTGGAGCCAATAAGCAACGAGAAATTTCTCAACATAATACCAACGTGACACAAAGCCCCTTTCTCTAAAAGCTATGTTTCCCTATCCTCTGTTGCCTCTAATTGCTGAACAAGGATCATCCTTGTGCTGAGGTGTAATAAAATGACAGAGCAATGC